AAAAAAAAAAAATTTACTGAGCCAGGTGCAGTGGCTCATGCCTGTAATCCAGCACTTTGGGAGGCCACGGTGGGTGGATCACGAGGTCAGGAGTTCAAAACCAGCCTGGCCAAGATGGTGAAACCCTGTCTCTTACTAAAACTACAAAAATTAGCCAGGGGCTAATTTAGCCAGGTGCCTGTAATCCCAGCTACTCAGGAGGCTGAGGCAGGAGAATCACTTGAACCTGGGGGGTGGAGGCTGCAGTCAGATCGTGCCACTGCACTCTACCCTGGGCAACAGAGTGAGACTCTCATCTCAAAAAAAATTTTTTTTCTGTAGAGGCAGGGTCTTGCTATGTTGCCCAGGCTGGTCTAGAACTCCTGGACTCAAGCAATGCTCTTACCTCTGCCTCCCAAAGTGCTGGGATTATAGGTGTGGGCCACTGTGACTGGTCAGATCTTTATGGATTTCTATATATGATCTTTAGTTTATATTTATTCCATTAATTTCAACTGTTAAGAGCCATCTTGGAGGGTAAACACTAATTTCTCTAAACCTATGATGAAAATTACTTAGATAAGGTGCAAACTACCTTCTGATGCTTATTATCATTGGGACAGCCTTGCTGGAAGTTGAGCTTCCCTCAAAAGGAACACTGAGTCACCTTCCAGTTAACTCTCTAAGTTCTCTCCCAGCCCCATCACTTTCTTATCTTTTGAAGGTGATGAGGTCTAAGTACGTTCTGTAAGGGGTAGACCCTGTTGGCTTTGCTCACTCCTGTATCCTCAGCGTGTGGCACACAGTAAGCACTCAGATACTTGACAAAAAGCAGCTCGTGTGCCAGAGCACAAACTGAATGGGGGCTGTCTTGGCAGTCTAACAATTAGAACAGCAATAAAAATCACCAAAAATAATGAGCATTATTTAGTGCATTATCTGGACAGGAAGGATTTGTAAAGTAGCTAATGTATACAAGAAATTGTTGCATGAACACTGAGTAACTACTAAGGTAACATCAGAAAAACTAAAAAATATCAGAGTGCAATCTTAAGTAGATGTGAAAACAATACTTCCCTATACATTATTTGAAAACACTGATCATATAGATGTGTTTAGTCATTGGGCTTTTTTTTTGAAATAGGGTCTTGCTCTGTCACCCAGCCTGGAGTACAGAGGCATGATTGTGGTTCACTGCAGCCTCGAACTCTTGGGCTCAAGCGATCCTCCTGCCTCAGCCTCCTGATTAGCTAGGACTGCAGCTGTGTATCATGGTGTCTGGCTAATTTATTATTATTATTATTTGTAGAGATAGAAATATTATTATTATTTGTAGATTTCTTTCATTGCTAGCAAGGCGAGGCTCTAGCCTTTGAAAAAAAGTCCTGTGGCCAGCTGTATGGCATCATAGATAACCATCAATTACTTAAAATGATAAAATCAATGAAAGGATGGCTCCTAGGAAACAAGTACCCCCCTGGCTGCTCCTGAAGCATTTCCACCATTTCTTTTTTTGGTCTTTTTTTTTTTTTTTTTGAGATGGAGTTTTGCTCCTGTTGCCTAGGCTGGAGTGCAATGGCGTGATCTCGGCTCGCTGCAACCTCTGCCGCCCGGGTTCAAGTGATTCTCCTGCCTCAGCCTCCCGAGTAGCTAGGATTACAGGCATGCACCACCATGCCCAGCTAATTTTGTATTTTTAGTAGAGACGGGGTTTCTCCATGTTGGTCAGGCTGGTCTCAAACTCCCAATCTCAGGTGATCCAGCCACCTCAGCCTCCCAAAGTGCTGGGATTACAGGTGTGAGCCACTGCACCCAGCCTCATTTCCACCATTTCTATCTTTTGGAAGAACAGACTAATATCAAGGGTCATGATGTGCAGAACATCTGTTGACAGACCAAATGCTCTAGTCTTTCCATTTGGAGAACATATCTCAAGGAAAAAAAATCGGTAAGGGAAAAAACCCAGTAATTTGTACAAAGATTTACTGTAGAATGTGATGAAGAATTGGGAAAAGTCAAATGCCTAATAAAACTATGTCAGTCAATACACGGAACTGTTTACACAAAATAATAAGTGGGATAAACAGAACATGGTATTAGTTATATAGAAGTACTGAATAGAAACAGCAAAAATGTATTAATGAATATTAAACAAAATTTAAAAATTTAGGGTAATAAAGCTGAATTTAGAGTTCATTCAATTCTTTCCTTTTGTAAAGGTAATTGTTTCTAATTTTAAAAGTCAAGAAACAGCTGGGCACAGTGACTCATGCCTGTAATCCCAGAACTTTGGGAGGCCAAGGTGGGCAGATCGCTTGAGCCCTGGAGTTAGAGACCAGCATGGGGCAACATGGCAAAATCCCATCTCTACAAAAAAATACAGAAATTAACCAGGTGTGGTGCCACGCATGCCTGCCTGTAGTTCCGGCTATTTGTGAGGCTGAGGTAGGAGGATCGCTTAAGCCTGGGAAATAAAGGCTGCAGTGAGCTGTGGTTGTACCATTGCACTTCAGGCTAGGTGACAGAGCAAGATTCTGTATCAAAAAAAAAAAAAAAACGCCAAGGAAGTTGCAGAATATAGAAGTAGATGTAAGCCTTCCCTTCCTAATATACCAAACACTCAAAAGCCAACATTTTCAAAATTTCACTGAACAGAAATAACAATTTTGTTCTTACCTGTTTGCAGTCCAAGTTTGGTTGAAGATAGAGGTGTCACTGAAGGAATTGCAGAGGATTAGGGAATGGACTCTAGGAGATTTGTGAGTGTATTCAGCAAATTTCTGGGCCAAAAAGCCTCCCAAAGAAGCGCCAAAAAGATGAACCTAATTATAAACAAATATGAGGCAGATCCTAAAATACTGATCAATCTTGAACATGAGTATTAAAAAGTTGCTTCAATTATCACTAACCACAGAATATGTTATCATTAGCCAATACACTAAAATATTTACAGCAGCTAGAAATTTAGAAAATATTGTATTTAAATGCAATTTACACAGTCCATCAAGATAATACAACTCTGCATCCAAGTTATATAATTTTAAAAAATATCATTCACAGATTGCATTAGAAAACAAAACCAGGCCAGGCGCAGTGGCTCATGCCTATAATCCCAGCACTATGGGAGGCTGAGGCAGGCGGATCACGAGGTCAGGAATTCAAGACCAGCCTGGCCAGCATGGTGAAACCCCGCCTCTACTAAAAAGACAAAAAACTAGCCAGGCAAGGTGGTGCGTGCCTGTAGTCCCAGCTACTCAGGAGGCTGAGGTAGAGAATCACTTGAACCCGGAAGGCGGAGGTTGCAGTGAGTCGAGATCGCACCACTGCACCCCAGCCTGGGCGACAGAGTGAGACTCTGTCTAAAAAAACAAAAAAAGAAAGAAAAAAAGAAAACAAAACCAAGCCAGGGAAATATGGCAAAGGCCTGTATACTAAAAATACAAAAATTAGCCAGGCATGGTGGTATGTGCCTATAGTCCTAGCTACTTGGGAGGCTGAGGTGGGAGGA